CGCTGTGAGGGAGAGATTGATAACGTACCAATGTTTATATTTTTGTCATTGGAAGTGAAGGACTTTGTGTTCTGTTAGTCCGCAAGCACAAGATTTAAGGAGGGAGAAGAATATTTAAATTAATAAACTTAATTGACAGTTAGACATGCCAATGGGATATTCCATATCATATCACGTCATGTCCAGTATATTAGTGAGGCTCTCTTTCTGTTTAGCTCTCTCTGGCTTTCGCTTGGCCTCTCATTCTTCCAGGATTGCAGTTTCGGTTTGGGATTGTCGCTCCTCCGGGGTCGTTACCCGGGAATGGGCCGGGCTCAGTCAGGAGGGGGGTGAGCTATAACATTGGGTGTCATTCACTTGCATATTTTGTTACTGTTATCATTATCTCTACTATTTTAATATTAGTATTATTTTAAGTTTTCTCTCTATTATTAAACTGTTCTTATCTCACCCTACAAGCCTCCTTATCCTTGGCCCCCCAGTCCTCTCCCCTATCCCCTGGGAGTGGGGGAGAAGTGGGTGAACAGCTGTGTTGGCTGCTAGCCAAGGGCCAGCCCAGTGAAACTATCACACCATGAATACAGTGAAAGTAAATAGGTTTTCTTCTTCTGAAATACTGAAGAGTACATGCAATTCTTCTCCATTACAAAAACTTTTAAAATATGCTAATGAAAATACTGTTTCTATATCTTCCAATATTGCATAAGGTAGGACAATCATCAAGAGTGAGAAGGATGTTTTACTGTGTTTTGTTGATTTTCAAGGAATCTAGCCAGAGCTATAGATTCACAGTGATGATTCAAGAAATATAGCTTACACCTGAAGATTGTAATCTGCTCAAGTTCACGATAACTTTGTGTTGGCTTATTGCGTCTATGCACAGAGATCGTCCCTGCTCACCTAACAGCAAACACTGAAAGAACCATCTAAAATTTACCTACCGCTACTTTGATGCACAGATCTTTTCCAGCAGGAAATGGTTAGATTTTCATTACATCTCATTCTGGGGAATCTTGCTCACTGCTTGGCAATTCCCTCACTCAGTATCTCTTAGCTTCCCACTGGCACGTGTTGTGTATGCCAGAAGCCTCGGGCCGGTGAACTTCTTCAGAAATAAGGTACTGCTGTGCCAATTATGATTTTTACATCTTCTTACTGTTAGTAGAATAGTTTTATAGGGAAACTAGACGTGTTTTTATAGACTTCATACAAAACAGGCCTCAAACTCTCATCTCAAATACTGAGCCTATAACATCTTTTACTTTTAAAGTGTTTTGTGTTCTGATGTAACTGTTTGTGCTCGTGGAATTGCACTGTACCACTAAATCTGCAATTTAGTCCAGATTTCATCACTCCATCATCCTAACAACTGTTTTTAAAGAATAAGAAAATGTAAACATTAAATAGTGCATATAATAATAATAATAGTGCATAATCTTCTGTGATTAGCTGTGATCATAGAAAAAAAGATACAGAATAAGGAATGGGAATTTTACTGTTGAAATTCAAATAAATGCAATATTCACAAACTGCAAAATCCAGGATCACAATCACTCTGAAAAGCCTCACCAAAAGCTTTTGATCTTGTGGGAATGTGTACTACCCAAGCCTCTTCCATTCAACTGTTTTCACAAATACAAAACTTAATAAACTTTCTCAGGTAAACCCCATACTGCTTCCTACTAGTTTCAGAAGGGGACATAGTACTTTTTTATTTTTAAAGCATACAAAGAGAGAAAGTATAGTCAATTAATGAAATATTTTGAGTGGCATGCATAGAGATCTTCATAGACGATGGACATCAGGAAATACAATAAAGTGTTGAAGATCTATAGAATCCTTATGAGGCTCAAAAATCACTTTCCATTCTCCAGAAAGGGGACCTATTCACATGCATACATACAAAATAGGCATAGCTTTAAAACATGGTAAGAACGTGTCATTATGTGTACAAGGCAAGATTTACTAACGAATTAATTTTCTGGATCTGAAGGGTGGGGCTTTTTTGGTATGTCAAATCATGCCAGAGTACAGTACTACTTGGGACCAAGACTATGTTCAGAGACGTGATTGCTAAAGCAGCACCTTCTCTTTTCAAAATTAAAAAAGGCACAAAAGGGATTAATTGACTCACACAACTCCTTTAGGCAGCTAAACAGACTAAAGACTAAGTCTAAACAGGCTGGCTCCTTCTTTAAGAGGTCAAACCCCCTTATTTTGATAGATGGCTATATTAAAACATCTGCTCTTCAAGACACACCTTTGTAGACAGTATTAAGCTTCTATAACCTTGACAATTAAAGAAAAAAACTCTCTTGTTGATAGATCTCTCAAGGCTTTACCTTGATCTTTCTTTCCCTTTAGAACAATCTTTTTTATCAACTGGCAACTTCAAGAACTTGCTATGAGCTAAAGAATTCATTATTAGTCTTTACAACAATTTAGCATGAAGTTAAAAGTAGTAAATTAGTGCTTAAGGAAATAATTTTGAGAGTGTCAAATAGAAAAATTAATTGAGCCAAATACAGAGTAGACAACATTGTGCCTTGCAGGTATATTTAATGCAGGTGTGTATATTGTGATTAGTTGTACAACTAAGTATTCTACTGATCAGCACAGCAATCTGCATCACAATCAAGAAAGTAACACACATACCAGGTGCCGTCAAAAGGAAAGAAATCCTGTATATGAAGGTTTCCAATGAATTGTTTTAAGAAACCTTCCCTTGAAGATTCTTGCAGAAGCCCCTTGTATACACACGAAATCAATGCAATAAAACTGACAATAAAATTACTGTTTAATCCACTTGACAACAAAAGGGCCAAGTGGCATGAAAAATACTCAAGCCTGCAAATTACTCATTGACACCAATAGGTTACTCTTCAGAGAATTTTCACCACACATTTGTCTGTAGGCTGCAAGTGTTTTTCTAACACAAATGTAACATGAAAAAAAAAAGGGTAGGCCACCAACTGAAAGAAAACATTTATTGAATTAAAGTCAATACTCTCCTTTTAATATCTACAAGCCAACACTGAACTGTCTCTTTATTCAAGAATGAACACAATGTACAAAAAAAAGTATGTCTGTTATAAAAATATGTCAATTTTTTTTTTCCTGGCTATTAAGCTGAAAACATTTTGACAAGTGCAAGATAGGTTTGGCAAGCAAATTTAAGCTGCTATTACCAGTGACAAAGTTCAAATAATTTTGTAATCATAGTATATTTAAGACTCATTGATAAAGTGGCATTGGAAATGCTGACCCCTAAAAAAGAAAAAAGTATCCCCACACTGCCATGTGTTTAAGCACATAGACGACCGAACATCTTGATCTTCTGTCATCATGAATCAGTACCTTTATCAGTGGAGACTATCCAGCCTAACTGGAACTATTAAACCAGTAACTAATACCTACCACTAGAATACAACTTAGGGAAGGCAAACTACCTCCATGGCTCTGTATTTTGTGTGTTGTTTGTGTATTGAGAAAGAAGAGTAGGTAGGTTCATATGTGTTTAAATCAACATGGCAGCTGTTGCAGTGTGAAATCAAGGAAAGGATGTAAAGAGAATAAAGAATCATTTATGACAGCAATCTATATTTATGAACACATGTGTGTTTACATATAAAAATGGATCTGACTAGGCTCAGTTATGCCTTATTTGTTAGGATGGGTTTCTTTCACATAAAAATTTAACTCAATCAAGACTCAAATAAATGATTTCTCTCAAACCACCAATAAGGAGGAAAAAAAGGGACCATTTACAGAGATAATCTGAAAACAGTGCGATATTAAAATACAATTTCACAACGTGTGAAAGAAACATACTTTGGAACCTGAGCAAAAGGCGTTTTACTGACTTAGTATAAAGTCACCCTGTATGTTGTTTTCATTGGCATCTGTTCTGCCAGATTAGTATGTTGCTCTTAGCAATTTCCATGGCCCCTAAATATTTAGTACACAGAAACTGCCAACTACTTAGAGAGGTCTACTAAACTTTTCAGCTAATATTGCAGGCAGTCTTTCATGCTGCTACTGGAAATGACCATACACCCTAAAATTAAGAAAAACTGTAGAATGAAAAAGAAGCAGCCAAACATGATGCTTTTCTTCTTTAAATAGACTAAAGCGCTTCCACAACACCTAGATACAGTACTACACTGGTTTACAGTCTCAAAGTCAGCTCTTTCAAAATAAATATACTGAACATTTACAACAAATGCCTCATGAATGCAAGCTCTTTCTTTATTTCAAGACCAGTCGGATAAAAACTAAAATAAAGACATAACTCTGAAGCAGCTAAGTTACAAGTCCTTTTTCAGAAACAGGCATAACTTGGTGCAACAGCAAAATTTGTCACCAGTCTGCAGTAAGCAATTTTGTTTTTTTTCCTCTAGCACCAAGCAGACCACCATACAAAGCAACCTCACAAAACATGCGGTCATCTACTCTGCTGATTTTCATATGAAATAATCATTTGTGCTTGCAGGTCCCAGACCTTTCAAAAATGGGTATGAACACCAGATGACTGAAGATATTAATGGAAACTGACTCATTTCTAAATTACTTGAGTGAAGAAAAAATGTAAAGACTAAAAAGCAACAGTATGTTGCACATTAGTATTTGTGAGGGATGAGGGAAACTAAGGTTGGTGCTTTAATTTGCCTGAAAAGAAACAAAAAGCTAAAAACAATCCTAAACAGCTCTATGTCCATGATACTGGTAGAGGTCAATATGTGCATGCCACTGAAAGGCACGGTCAGACCAATCTGATAAATGGCATCATCAGAGCAGAACAGCAACTTTTCACTGGAGTAATCACAAAGGGTGAACAACGATCCATCACTTCTCTTGTCATGAGCACAGAAAGCAGTCACAAAGGCAAAAGGGGGGACATGGGAAAAGAGATACAGGAACTTGCATAAGCCTGGAAGACAGAAAACACACGTTAAACTGCGTTTTGAATATTCTGAGTGACCATTTTCCTACTGTAATGTTGCTATTCATTGATTCAACACCATATATATTATGCTTAAATGGATGGTACTATTGCAAAAATGGTACCCTAATCATATAACAAAATTCTTCTGAAATTTGTTATATAACTAACTTCATTTGCAAAGATTTGCCTAAAATATCATCTTAGGTATAAAGCAGGCTTACAGACAGACTGATACAGTCAGGACAATCTCTTGTGCATCGTGTAAAAACTTAACATGCTTACATGATATGAATTTTTTACTCAGAAATGCATTTTAAAATTAGGCATCATAGAGACACAGCTATTTATAGGGAGCTAATTATGAAGTGGTATGATCGTTCTTCCTACTACTCTTAACAGTGCCTAAAAAGCAGAGTGCAATACTTACTGGAAAGGTTTCCCCAAGGTTATCCTGCCTTTGTATCTACAAGCTGCATCTGAACATTTGCAGACATGCCCCCTCCATAGCCTCCCTTGGACTGCATTTGGTTCTGAATTGAGCTGACCTGGAGAAAGAAGGGAAAGGAGGGCAGAGAAAACAAGAAAGGCAGTTATAAGCTATGTCATCTTCTTGCTTCCAGTTTTATTTCTTGTTTAGGTTTGGTTTTCAAGCGCTCCTTTACCATTAAAGCTGCATTACTTTTGCATGAGGACATGTGCAGCGTAGGCTTGATGGTATTTTCACTTCAGCAGGCAGCTCAGCAGGAGAGATGGAAGAACTGGTGCTGAGGCAGAAGTTTTTCCCCTCTCCTAGAGAAAACTCACCGCCTGATTACTCAAAAAAAAATTAATCAAATCTCTTACTGGTAACCAACGCCACTCCGTATGACAAGCTATAATTTATCTTGTTATATGGAAAAAGTTTTTTGCCAAGTATGATAAACCAGAACAGCAGACAACATTATATTTAAAATAACAGACAACTTACAAAATATCTGACAGTATCTGCACTGTATGGTGAAGTTCAGATAATTAAAAAAGGACTTTCAAACCAAAAAGGAGCCTTTGGTTTGTGGAATGTTTTTTATTTATCTGTTTATGTAATAGCACACACTGCTTTCCTCAATCACTACTATTCCTTGGAATGGCAGGGCATTTATTGTTTAAATCATACTCAATCTACCAAGTTCCATGGAAATAGCTTTTAAAGTATTTTAAAGTATTTTTAGCCTGATGCAAACAAATACATAATAAACCCCTCCACACACACACAAAGATATGAACATCCCTCTATGTCTTTCATTGGCTTTATCAACAAAATGGAAAGGAACCATAGTTCTTTCCCACTTGTGCTGCATGAGTAAAAATAATCATCTCCAAGTGCCTGTAGGAAGACAACTCCAACCTTAGAGGTTTGGCCTTTTTCTCTTTGCCCCCCAGAGCATACAAAACAAGTACACAATGAGCACAAAATAACATATTCATTCAAGGCTACAGCTTCTGAAATTGAACTTGCAGCAAAGCCTATGCCTTCAGGGCAACACTTGCAATTATTACATGTAAGTTCCTTCATAGAGGCCTCAAAACATCACAGGAAAGGCATATTAAAACAGCATGGGAGAATATTTCCAAGTAGCTTGCAAGACATTTTACCTGTCTACAGAGACAAAACTATTCTTTTTCACAGCAAAGCAAAACACATGCACACACACAAAATTAATCAGCACAACTCTTTCTTACACACTGTTCCTCAAACAAATGTGCAAAAAGAGCCTGTTTTAGGTTCTTTGTCTTTAACAGTATAGCACATTGCAGTACTGTGTGAAAGATCTGATTTTTATTTATTTAAGCAGCCCAATGTAAAACCATTATCTACCTTGCTGCTTTGCTCAAATAAGTGAGACATCTGCAGTAAAACAGTGTTATATTCAGATTTTTCTTCAGGGAAAAGTGTTCAGAGCCAATACTCTAGTGGGTCTGACATCAGAGATTACAGACTCAGTAAGGAAATGTGGAGAAGTGCAACCACATTCATGGGGCAGTGCTTAAGAACTTTCACATCTCACCAAGCTGGTCATCTTCTTCACCAAGCATCTTCTGTTGCTCATTGGAACAAAAGAAGTTTGAATTTTTTTTTTCCCCCTCAGAAAATAATTAATCTATATGTAAACATAGTCACAAGAATGACTTGAGGATGGCCATTAAATTTCACATGAATGAACCCTGCCTCTAGTGAAAAAGAGCTAGAAAAACAACTCCAGGCCGTGTCACCTTCCAGCCTGACAACACAAACTGCAAGGCTAAAGTGTGTAAAAGTAAATTTTTATGAGTACTTCTTCTAAAGGTTAGAATAATTTCTCTGGTACTTGAGACACACATAGAGATGTTAGTGTTAGTGGGTAAGGAAGTATCAGTCTAAAATGCAGAGGCCGTTACACCTAAAAGAGATAGAATCCAGCAAATTAAACTTGACTGCATTAACAGTTCAGGGGCTATCTAGTCTATGAAAACGTAAACAGAAAACATACAATGTTAAAAGCACAGAGCAAAAAGCAGGTCTAACAACTGTAGGCTTATAAGGTGGTTCACTTTCTGAAACATCCTGCTTTTAAGGCAGGCTGAGCTACAAGAAGGAGCACCATGAAATGCAATTTTTTTTCTTTCCGAAAGATGCCTTTGCCTTCCTTTGATGACATATAACAGCAAGGTTCTTCTCTCTTATATCTAGTTTAGATAGTATACGGATTTAAAGGTCTTGGAACAGGAAGAGGATTGCACCAATTAAAGATCATACAATCTGTCATGCTGCTTATCTATCTCATTAATTTCCTTCTTCCCTTTTCTTTCCTTCTCTTTTAGAATAAGGAAATAACACAGATGGTCCTTGAGAAAGAAAACAAAGGAAAACTAAGAAAAGGATGGAATACATGAAATCAAAGACTAAACTGAGGCATATTAAGCAGAAGAAGAAAGTGAGAGATTTCACCATGGAATATGAGGGTAAAATAAGGAAGAAATTGATGGGAATGAGAAAGAAACAGCGCACAAAGGGCTCCTACTGTTTAAGGGTACCTTTGACAAAGGAGCAAGGCACTCCAGGGAGAAGACAAATGACAGGTGAAATATTTCAGTAGTCAGAAAACTACTGTACTCAGAATCATAAGGATGTGCAATGAAAACAATGCTGATGTAAAAAAGGCACAGAGCACATAGTGGATGAATAATCAAGTTTGCAAGGGAAAAGCTAATGAAATTGCAGGATGTCCTCCTAAGGTGCTCAGAAGAGTGAAGGCACAAGAAGGTTCATAAAGGAGTATAATGTCCATACTATAAAGGAAATTAAGCAGCAGAAAAACATGTGGAGGTCAACACCATAATCTTGGAATTCACACTGCAAAGAATGAACAAGGAGATTGCAATATTACCACAGTAAGTCACCACAGAACAGGCAGGAAAATAAGCAGTGCGAAGAAGTAGAGATTTGTGCTTTGGCAGAGAGAGGGGAAAAAAAAGGATTATTTCTTGCATACACATCATTTCTATCTGGGATCAGAAAAATCTCTCTGGCCACTGACAAAGCATATTATCCAAAAGGAAAAAAAGTGAGAGAAAGAGATAGCCAGTTATGAGCATTCAAAATGCAAAAGCTTATGTAGAGAAACAATAAGGATTACTTACTACCTGGAGATTAACTGGATATTATACAAGGCAAAGGTGAGGGCAAGCAGGGCAAAAGTCTGAGGTGAAAAAGCAAAGCTTTGGGCAATCACCATAAACCCCATATGAGACAGCTCAGCTGTGAGAATGATTAAGGTTCTTACAGGAGGGACAAAATTTAAAAGCAAAAAGCCATGCTTTAAAAAAAATAAACTGCTTACTTTATCACGACAATTTATAATGGCTTTAAATATTAATGTAATATACTGCATTAAACAGGTAATTAGCTTTAACTGAATTTTATCAAGTCGAAGATATGTTTGTCCATTTAACTTGCTTAAAGATGTTTTAGTAAAAATCACTTCCAATCTGTTATGTTATTTCTGGAAAAATGTAGTATATTGTTTGACATGACAGATTTTCTAGCTTTGCCATTCTCTAATACATACTGAGTTACAAAAGTTTTTGTTGGATCTCAGTAAGCTGTAAACTAGTTGAAACTACAAATGACCTCACTTGTCCACATTAAAACTTATCTCTTTCCTTCACAGCTCTGCTCTCTATTCCGAAACCTCTGACAGAGTGCTTTTCTTCTCAGGATGTATTTTTCATCATTTTAATCTCAAAACTTTTTCTTTCCTTTAAAGATGATAATTAAGGTCAAGAAGTATTCTTTATCATTATCTACATAATAATAATAATCTAGCCCTTTTCTAGATTGTGTATTATTGACATTTCACTTAAGTATGAAGCTGTACAAAAGAAATCTATCACCATAAGCTGATTTTCAGTATCTGTCTTAGCCTCTGTTTTTCACCTTCAGAGACATAAAAATATTTATTGCTTCTATTGTCTACAGGAAGCCACAAAACCTTGACTGTGATATCGTTGCTTGCTCTAGAAATAATTCACACTGCAAACTGGGCTAAAGAGTATAGAAAAACCTCAACAAGGACACCTAAAATATTTGTGTGTACCATAAACCAAGATAAGTTAGTTTCACATGAACTATATTTAAAATAGCTTAAAGCACTTAAGGTAAGAAATCTAGTCAATTATAAGACACTTTAAAAAGTTTTCTCTAAAATACTAAAGTATATTTTCAAATATACCTCTATTTTAGTTCATACTTGTCTTCAGAATGAATTTTTAAAAAGTATTCTACAGAATACTTCTGTATTTGTACAAAAGTAATTGAAAAAGTACAAAATTGTAATTGCCTGTGCAAATTATACAGCATCTACTATATATTGTCAATAAATTTAGGAATTTTAAAAAATACATTCCATAATCTTGAATGCAAGTTTTTAGGACTTGGAATTAAGACACTAGGCAAGTTGTTCTTCAGTTTTATTGACATTCTTTCCTATAGCTGAAAGACTCATTGTTTGAGCCACAATATACATATATAGTGTTCCTGTATTCTGTCTAACAGGAAATACTCTTCATCCATTCATGCTTACCGAATTCATTCCACTGAATAGGTCTCCTGATCCTACATGAGCTGTGTGAACAAAGTTTGTCGGCTCCCCAATCATGCTTCGGTCAATCCGCCGTCGTCTTTTCTGAAAGGAAGGTAAAGAAACCCTCTCACTGAGAGTCACTGAAGAAGCAAAACCAATGTGTGTCATAAATGTAAAAGCTAACTGTCCATAGGATATTTTATACACTGTAAGATAATTTCATAGAGACAAAAAACAGAGTCCAAATTCCCTGGCTAACCAAAACCTTAATACTGTCCTTTGCTTTTATTTGGAGGATCTGTAGCAGATCATTAGGCCAGCACTAATACCACTTCTAACATTTAGGCCAACAAAACATTTGTAGATAACCTGAGTACACTCCTCAGTTTATTAAGCAATATTTGCAACGTTTCATACAGTACCTTCTGCCTATATTTGTATTTAAATAATGAAGTGACAAACCAAGGTTTGTAATAATTTAGTAATTCAAAACAAGAATTAAGGAGCACTCATATAGTCTATGAAACCGCTAACTTACAGAATTTCTGATTTGCATGATTTGGTAACTTATATATATATATATATATTTGTAATATACTTCATGGTGATGTTCAGAACAATGCCTTGAGTTTGATCAGCGTTAGTCACAGACATATCTTCACTGAACCCTCTATACCCAGATAACTTCCAGTCTGTGTGGTTGTATAGAGTGAACTGAAGGGCTGCAGTGTGATAAGTAAGGCAGGATGACAGATTAGGCATTCCAGTTCCTATGCCGTGAGACAGAAGGCAAGAATTGCTTAACCTCTGCCTCCCCATTCTCAGAGTTACAGCTTCAATTTTTATGGATGTAAAAACACGCAAATTAAAAATGGGATACAGTAAGGACTTCCTCTAATCAAAGTTGCTTTGATTGTCTGCCTCCAGCTAAGCACTGCATCTAAAGGAATAAAGGAAAAAAACCCTATCCTCGTTTCTTAGGCAAGAGCCAGGGAGCTTACACAGAGGAAACCACGCACTGTGCAGTCAATGTATGTTTGTACCCTGTATTTGAAAAAAAACCCAATAGCCATGAGGCACAGTATGAATACCTCAATTTAATGTGTCATAAAAATACAGTGTAATACTAAGAAACTACTTTAGCTCAATTAAGAAGCTTCCCATCATCTTAAAGTCCACTCAGTCTCATTTTTAAAGGGATCTGTTTCTAATCTGCAATGAGATCGTAAGACCACCCAGACTCGAGACACAAAGGTACCTGCCTCATGAGTGGACTAGCTGCTGCTGAAACACAGCTACAGATTAAATCTTCATGAGCCAGAGCCCACACCTATGAGAATACATACAAAACACATTTAATCCTTTCCTGTCCTTTTTCCCTATTACTAAAACCAGGTTTCAGTACCTTACTGCATTGTATTAATAGCTGGAGCGAGGAGAAACACCTAAAGCACTCCCACAGAAACAGCAAACAAAATGACCTGATGTATGCCAGAACTATCAGTTAATGCTCTACTCACAACAAATTTGACAAGATCAACCAAATAAAATAATCATAGCTATAAAAACATCTTCATTTAGTTTGAGGGCTTTCACAGAGAAAACGTTTAAGGAAGTTAACTGACTCATAAAAGTTATTTTGGTTTGGTTAAAGGAAAAGACCTTTAAGATCATTGAGTCCAACTGTTAACCTAACACTGACAAGTCCACCACTAAAACATGTCCCTAAGCACCACATCTACTTGTCTTTTAAATACCTCGGGGATGGTGACTCCACCACCTCCCTGGGCAGCCTGTTCCGACACTTGACTACTCTTTCAGTGAAGAACTTTTTCCTAATGCCCAATCTAAACCTCCCTGGTGCAACTTAAGGGCCATTTCCTCTTGTCCTGCCACTTGTTACCTGAGAGAAGAGACTGATCCCCATCTCTCTACACCCTCATTTCAGGCAGTTGTAGAGGGTGATAAGGTCTCCCCTGAGCCTCCTTTTCTCCAGGCTAAACAACCCCAGTTCCCTCAGCTGCTTTTAATAAAATTTGTGCTTTAAACCCTTCACCAGGGTGCCCTTCTCTGGACATGCTCCAGCAACTCTGTGAGGTGAGGGGCCCAAAGCTGAACACACTATTCAAGGTGCAGCCTCATCAGTGCCAAGTAGAGGGGGACAATCACTTCTTGGCCACCACTGCTGGCTCATGTTCAGATGACTGTCAACCAACAATCTCCCCCATCGCCCCCAGTTCTTTTCCGCCAGGCAGCTCTCCAGCCACTCCTCCCCAAGCCTGTAGCATCGCATGGGGTTGTTGTGACCCAAGTGCAGGACCTGGCACTTGGCCTTGTTGAACCTCATACAATTGGCCTCAGCCCATCGATCCAGCCTGTACAGATGCCTCTGCAGAGCCTTCCTACCCTCAAGCAGATCAACACTTCCAGCCGGCTTGATGTCATCTGCAAACTTACTGAGGGTGTGCTCAATCCCCTTGTCCAGATCATTGATAAAGATGTTAAACAGGACTGGCCCCAACACTGAGCCCTGGGGAACACCACTTGTGACTGGCTGCCAATTGGGTTTAACTTCACCACAACTCTTTCGGTCTGGCCATCCAGCCAGTTTTTCACCCAGCAAAGAGGACACCCATTCAAGCCATGAGCAGCCAGTTTCTCTAGGAGAATGCTGTGCGAAACAGTGTCAAAGGCTTTAGTAAAGTTCGGGTAAACAGGTCTAAGCAGGTCACCTTGTCAAGTGAGATGTCTCAATTAAAGAAAAAATCAGTAGAGTTCCTAAAGCTAAAAAGCAGCCACAACAGAATCAATTATCATGTCCCACCAGTGCATTAACATTTCAATCTGGAAGTCAAACTCACTTAAACATACAGCAAACTATTTCTTAAGTTATGCATAACATCAGGATACGCACAGCACACATGACTAACTTGGTGGGAGAGACCCCACCCCAGGTTTAGGCTTCCGCTGGATGAGAACTGCTCATCTGATATGATCAGGCTGAGAAGCATCTCTATCATGCATCATGATTGTTTTAAATGCATGTTGCTGTATTTACACAACATTGTAACACACTGTCACTCTGACACAGAAAGAAGCTCCAGAGAGCTGTATGAAACACACCACTCCAATTAAAACACTTAAAATAGTTTCAGGTCTGCAGTAGTTGCCCCTCTCCCCCTTTTAAAAAAATAACAGCCAGAGTCAGATTCATTTTTATGTCTAAACAGTACATCCATGATTTTTTGGTTTTAGTAGAGTTTTGAAATGCAGGGGGTTGATGCAGAGAAAATTTAGAGAATCTCAAAACTTTTGGATTTTTTTTTTTTTGTTTATTTGTTTTTCAAACATTTCACTCTTTGGGCAACTGAACTTATTCTCCTTTTCTTCTTGCTAAGATCACTGGCATGCCTGTAACAGAATTAGAGTGCTGGATCTTGTGAATGAGTATAAATGATACTCCACTAATCATCAGCTAGTCATTAGTAACCACTAGTTAAAAAGTGAATTGCCACCAAACCCTATTTCTTATCTTAAGTGAGTTTCTTATCAGAGGCCATCAGCCAGTTATACCTGGGCATGTGCCTACGGATGTGATCTCTTGAAGCACTGGAACAGTATTTAGATGTTCTGCTGTATTAAGACTACAAAGTAGTTCACTCTGAAAGCAAATAAAACATTGAGGTTTTGCTGCTGGAGCACTCATTAATGTTAGTGTTTTAGCTTGAATCACAAGCATGCTTTTGAAGCAACATTGCCAGTCCCCATTTACCATGCTTCAGTTTTAATTTCAGAGTAATCCTGGAATGTACAAATTGGACTTCTTTTGGATGAAGCTGAACTGGAAGACCAGTTGATGCACTCCCATTGCCAACGGACATTGAGGCCAATGGACCAGGTGAGCCAGTCTGAAGGAGACCACAAAAGACATCTAATGCACATCATGGTTCCCCAATACCAACTATTCTGCTCTACTGCATAGCTGCTTCTAATAGGATGTGCCATTTCTGTAGACACAGCCTCAGCCAGAACCAAAATGACCAGTTAGCACGGGTGAAGGGATGTGGGGAGTGCTGTAAAAAGTCACTTCTTCAAGGCATGTAACACAGCAGGCAGGAGTAGGGGAGCACACGTGGAAAGGTTACAAAGCTTTTACAGAGAACACCGTAAACATTAGCTTTGCCAGGATTTTATTCTGAAGTTGTATTTTCTGAGGCCCTGTCCCTGTAATACCTTTGCTCTATAAACAATAAGAACACACAGATTGATTCTTCAGTAAATTTAGTATATTTAATTTGAAAAAAAGACAAGAAGGAGCACATTAATCTCTTAAGTCTCTCTCATCTCCTTCCCTCCATGTATCACTTGTGCCTTCTCATGCTTGTTTCTAGGCAAGTCGTGCCTGAGCTGAAAGAGCCCAGTGAAAATGAATTCCTGCTAGCCTTCACCCATGCCCCAAACTCCACTTGATAACGTACCATAAATAATTAGCCTTAGAGTATATATATACCACTAATCATTGTAGTAATGAGATGGGACTATAAAGGTGATCATTAAAACAGCTGTTTATGATGCTAGGGCAAAGGACTTCAACATACATGCACCTGAATATTTGTATCATGTGAAGGTTTGTTTTGAAGATGTTTCTGATGGAACACATACACGTCCCAACTCTAGCAGCCTAACTGCAATGAGACCTTATGTCCTGTTATCTGTGTTCCTTGTGGACTTTTTTTAGTAGGAGGGAAGTAGAAGAAAGCTCACGTTATGATTAGCTAACTTGTCTGTTATCTTTCTTGTTTGGGTCAAGTTACTGAAAAATTTGGTATCAATGGGCAAAAAAAGGTTTAAAATCTGAATTATAGTATTTGATTTTTTTTCCCCCCTTGCCTTGTCCCAAGGCACTTCCCCTTTTACTAAATGGGGAAGGAGTGGAAAAGAGTGTGAAAGAGGTGAGAGGAGAAGACCGGTAAAGGGATCGTGGAAGTGAAATATTAAATGTCATAATTTAATGGCTTTAATCAGTTTGTTCCCTTGAGAAAAATCTGCAGAATTTGGATTGCAAAGTACACACCAGGTAATCTTTACGCCACAAAAAGAAT